GTGTAACATGATTGAGTTTCCCAGCACTGACTAATGGGTCCCTGCATTGCAAGTGTAACAGGACTGTGTGTTCCAACAATGAGTGTGTTACAGGACTGTGTGTCCCAGCACCGATTGTGTAACAGGACTGAGTGTCCCAGTACCAAGTGTGTAACACGATTGAGTTTCCCAGCATTGACTGGGACTGGGCACCCAGCATTTTGCGTACAACAGGTCTATTTGTGTAACAGGATTGACCAACCCCAACGCTGAGTATGTGACAGGACGATGTGTCCCAATACTGTGTGGGTAACAGGACGATGTGTCCCAACACTGAGTGTGTAACAGGTGTGATTGTCCCAACACTGAGTGTGTAACTGGACTGTTTGTCCCACTACTGCATGTGTCACAGGACTGTGACTCCCAGTACTGACTAAATACATGTTTAACAGGACTGTGTGTCACAGGACTGTGTGTCCCAGCACCGAGTGTGTAACAGGACTGTGTGTCCCAGCACCGAGTGTGTAACTGGACTGTGTGTCCCAGCACCGAGTGTGTAATAGGACTGTGTGTCCCAGCACCGCGTGTGTAATAGGACTGTGTGTCCCAGCACCAAATGTGTAACAGGACTGTGTTTCCCAGCACTGAGTGTGTAACAGGACTGTGTGTCCCAGCAGTGTGTGTGTAACAGATTTGTTTGTCCCTGCAATAAGTGTGTAACAGGACTGATTGACCCAGGACTGATTGTGTAACAGGAGTATCCCAGCATGGAGTGTGTAGCAGGATTGTGTGTCCCAGCACTGACTAACAATGTGTGTAACAGAACTGTATGCCCAGCAGTTTCTGTCTAACAGGTCTATTTGTCCCTGCAATGAATGTGTAACAGGATTGACTGACCCATCACAGAGTGTGTAACACAACTGGGTGTCCCAGCACCGAGTGTGTGTAACATTACTGCATGTCCTAGTACCTAGTGTGTAACAGGACTGAGTGTCCCAGCACCGAGTGTGTAAAAGGACTGTGTGTCCCAGCACTGAGTGTGTAACACGACAGTGTATTCCAGCACCAAATGTGTTACAGGACTGTGTGTCCCAGCACCAAGTGTATAACAGGACTGTGTGACCAGCAGTGTATGTGTAACAGGTCTATTTGTCCCAGCAGTGAGTGTGTAACAGGTCTATTTGTCCCAGTACTGAGTGTGTTACAGGACTGTGTGTCCCAACAGTGAGTGTGTAACAGAACTGGGTGTCCCAGCACTGAGTGTATAACAGGACTGGGTGTCCCAGTATTGAGTGTGTAACACGATTGAGTTTCCCAGCACTGAGTGTGTAACACGATTGAGTGTCCCAGCATTGACTAATTGTGTATGTAACAGGACTGGGTGCCCAGCATTGTGCGTACAACAGGTCTATTTGTGTAAGAGGATTGACCAACCCCAACGCTGAGTACGTGACAGGACGATGTGTCCCACTAGTGAGTGTGTAACAGGTGTGATTGTCCTAACACTGAGTGTGTAACAGGTTTGTTTGTCCCTGCAATAAGTGTGTAACAGCACTGACTGACCCAGGACTGACTGTGTAACAGAAGTATCCTAGCATGGAGTATGTAACAGGATTGTGACCCAGCACTGACTAACAATGTGTGTAACAGCATCGTGTGCCCAGCAGTTTCTGTCTAACAGGTCTATTTGTCCCTGCAATGAAT